TCCGAGCCGGCGGCAGAGACCTCGGGCCAAGGGGGGCCCTGGAGACGCCCCCAGGGCAGGCCCGCTGCAGCTTTACTCGGGTCCCCTCGCCCGGGGCCTCCGCAAACTAACCTACGGCGCGCCGCCGAGCGCGGGTCCAGGATCCGCGGGCCGCCTCCAACCTGCAGGAGAGCGCAGACAATTAAACCAAGCTATTTACATTTTTAAAGGTGAAAGGAACCTGCCTTCTGGCAGGGCAGGGAGGGCCCTCAGGTGGTTCAACTCAGCGCCGGGATCCCGCTCAGCTGCGGGGGCCTCGAACCCCGCCGCGGGGCCGGCGATTGGGCCCCTCCGGAGCGCGGCGCCCAACGCGGGTTTCGTTGCGTCGGGGAAGTCCGTGGCCTGCAGCGCCCAGGCCCCGCGCGCTCAGCTGAGCCCGGGATCAGGGCGTTCTCCAGCCGCCCGACCCCTGATCCAGGCAGCTCCCCCTCCGCGCACCCTCCAGGGGCCTGCAGCCCGCGCCCCTCCCCGCCAGGCCTTTTTCCCAGACTGCAAACTGCAGCGCGAACTGGTTTTCTCCTGGGTACGCGCTGGGAGGAGACGGTTCTAACGGAGCCCAGCGAGGAGGGACCAGGCCTGCGGGAGGGGGCGCGCTCCTGTCCCCAGACCCCTCCCGCTGCGCCTCAGCCCCAGCCCGGCTCCCTGGCCTGCACGGGTCGGGCCGGGAGCAGAGGAGGCAAAGCAGGCGGAGGCGGCGAGGGGAGAGCGGCCAGACCTTTTCCCCCGGAGCCCGGACCCTTCCCCTCCCCTCGGGTTACTTTCTAGATGGGGAAACTGAGGCGCAGGCGGGGCGATGCGGCGGAAGCTCCGCGCCCTGCGGTCTCCCGCGCCTGCCTGCCGGAGCCCGGAGTGGAGGACCCGGAATTCCCTCCTGTAATCGCGTCCCAGAACTCCCGGACGACGGAGGCCAAGCTGCGGAAGGAGGGGACGAGGACGCGGGGACCCGGGGACCACCCCCTCCGCTCCCCCGCGGGCCGCGGCCGCCCAGCCCCGGTGCCCCGGCGCAAACAGGCGCGGTGTTTGCCGAGCGCGCGGCGGGCGGCGCGGCCCGAGAGCGATGAGGATTCGATGGAGCCGCTCGCCGCGGCGGGGGCAACAGAGCCCGGGCGGGCGCGGGGATCGATCGGGCACAGCTGTCGCCGAAGAGCCCGCGGGAGCATCCACCCGCGGGCCAGATCTGCCCGGGCGCCCCGCAACTGCGGGCAGGAAATCTGGGACGCCGGGCCCGCCAGGGGCGAAACCCCAAAGTCGCCGCACCCTGGTGGGGCGCTCGGGACGTCCCCACGGCCAACGTGGAACCTTGGGGGCCCCGCGCCCTGCCCCACCGGAAGCCCCGCCAGGCCGAAAAGGCTCAGAGTCTCCCCCCAAATCTAAATAAAGTCCCCGGACCCCGCCAGAACGAAGGCGGCTGGAGTCCCGTGGGAGAACTCCAGGCAAACACTAGGCGCCGGCGGCCGGGATTTGGGGCGACAGCAGGTTTCGGGGGGCCGGGAGTGGGCGCAGGGCGGATCTAGGGCTGGGGCTGGGCCTGGGGAGGGGGTCGTCCATGGCCATCATGTAGTAACAACCTCGCTTTAATAAAAGCAGGGAGAGGTATGCAGCGCCCGCTGACTGTCATTTCGGTGGGAGACAAATCGAATCAGAAAGTCAGTTAGGGGAGCATCGTGGAAGGTTCTGGGGGAGCCCCAGGAAGGGAAACTTGAGGGATCTAACTCTGCCATTGATGTTTTTAGCTGCAATGAGAGAGTCAATAACAACAGGGAGGGTGGTGTGTCCAAAATGGGAAAGGGTGGAGAATTAAGGGGGGCTCCAGCTCAGGGGCCGGTTTATGGAGGCTGAAGGGGTGAAGAGTGCACACCCCTGGGGCCTGGGGAGTGGGTAGAGCCCCTGCAATTCTCCCCCCCCACACACAAACCCGCAGGACTCTCCAAGCCCTGAGGTTAGTGGGACCAGAGGCTGCTCTTCTTGGCCCCTCCCGGATCCAGGCCAGGCACAGAGAGGGTAGTCGTCGGTCTGGGGCAGCCCAGCACCTGCTGAGGTCCCCTCCCCCACTCCCAGGCACGGACTCGGGCTCTGGTAGCTAAATTCCAATTTTCCTGGAGGGGATACTGAGAGCAGAGAGCTTCCTCGAGGTGGCTGAGGTCCCTGTGGGGCGGGAAAGGGGTACTCCTTGTCCCCATCCAGCCCACCCTTCCCCTCGCCCACAATTTGCCTAATGACCCCAGATCGATCCCGGCCTGGGTAGCCGGCCTGCCCCGTGGCCGGCTCAATTCTATTTTACTAATTACTAAAAGGCCGCTGGCTTGTGGGGAGAAGCAGGCTGGGGGCCCCAGGGGGCCACACTCCCTCTCTTGGGGCCAGCAAATTTCTGTTCAGTCTCCCAGTGGGCGCACAGCCTCTACAAGGAGTGAGATCCCTGACCCTGGGGGAGGCCAGGTCTCCATCAGCCTAAGGGGGATGAGGGGGCTTCGCAGACCTGGATAGGGTCAGGTCCACCAGGCTGGGCTGCCCCTTCCGCATCTAGGAAGCTTTGGAAGGGGTCTGTGGCCACCTTAGGGTGTCCCGAGGAAGCAGAGGGGAGAGACGCCCTCCTCTCCGAGCCCCTGACCCTCGTCTCCTCTTTCTCCTTCTAGTACAATGCTTTCCCTGCTAGAAAAGCCACACACGCTTGTTATTAAAATGAACACGATAATCAAGCTGTAGGAAATATATTAAAAAGGAAGCCTGCATAACCTCAGCTCCGAAGGAGCTCCCCCACGTCGGCATTTGGGGGAGCTTCCTTCCGCCTCGGTATCCTCCCACCCATAGAGACCCCCCAGCCCCCACCTGGCGTGTACTTCCCTGCGCCTGGGATGCTAGCGTTTTATGGCGGCTGATTGATTTTTAGATCTCACGATTATTTTTAATTATCTGTGATTGTTGGAGGGTGAGATTGAGGAGCCCAGGATGAGGGCTCAGAGCAGCCACTTCCTTGCCCCCAGACCCAGCACCTTCAAGGGGAGGGGGGACGAAGCTGCTCAGACCTGCTCCTCTCTTCCCACCTGGAACAGGGGTGCGATTATGTAAACAGTCCAGAAATTACACGTGAACCCTGCAACTCGAAAGTTTAGGGACCGACACTGGAGGGGGGCGGGAGTTAGCATTTGGGCAGAGGTAGGAATGAAAGGGGGGCTCTAAGGTCAGCACCCCCACCTTGGGACATAGGCACCCAGGAAAATGGCGACTTGACTCCCCCTATCTGGGGCTGAGTGAGGAGAGAGAGTATGTCTGGTAAACAGCAGGCACTTACTAAATGCTGAGCCTTATGCAGCAAGTAGTAACAGGGGTCCCCTTCAACCCTCCCCTCCCCAGGACTTGGATCAGGCCACTTCAGGCTGCCGGCCCAGATCAGGCCCCCTCCCTCTCTGCTCTTGTGATCAGCCTCAGCTGGGCAGGCTGGAAGGCACCCCTCCCACACCAGAGAGGGGAAACTGAGGCACAGAAAGGTTCCCTGTTACAGAGTCAATCCTAGTCTTAGTTCAGAAAATCGAATTTCCAATGTGTAGCCAGGTCTCCAGGGGCCAGGGAATCTGGATGCAGGTGCAGAGCTGGGGGTAGGGTGGGGCTGGGGTTGGCCCAGGAGGGTGGCATGGAAAGAGAGTGGCACTCCCCGGCTGTCTCCTGTTCTCTTCCCTCAGCAGAGACGGGCTGGGGGGTGGGTGGTAACTGGAGGCTCCCACAAACCAGACGCCGCATCAACCTGACCCTCCCCTTTCCTCTTCTAGAAAGTGCTCAAGGGTTATCTGGGGGCAGAGGCCCCCGGGGAAGCAGGAAGGCACCAAGGCTGGTTTTTGGACTCTCCATCCCAGACTCTGGCCCCCGAGACGAGGCCCCCTCTAGGTTCTGGTCTAGACCCTCCCTAGCCCCAGCCCTGACCTTACCCCACTGGAGTGATCTAGTCCCCTGGGGGTCTCTATGATTACAGAAGCCCTGCCGCCCTCTATTCCAGTTCCCACGGGGCTCCTGGGCCTCACCTGTCTCCAGGTGCTCAGAAGAAGGAGAGCCCCGGCTTCCCCCACCCTGAGAAGTCCCAGGGCCAAAGAGTTTGCACCAGGGACGTCTCAAGACAGGCAGGGAATCCAGCCTCAGCCTCTGCGGGCTGCAGGGTGACAGAGGCTCTCAGCGGTCACCGCCAGGCTCCAGTGCCTCCAGCGGGCCCTGACAAGGAGGCTTTGGCAACCCTAAGCCCGACAGCCCATTGTACAGTTGGGGACTTGGAGGCCCAGGTGCCCACACCTGGGCAGATGCTGGCACCTGGGGCGCACAGAGGCCCTGCTCTAGCCGGCAGACCTCCCTTTTCCCCCACTTCCCCCAGTAAGAGGTCCTGGGAAGGGGGCTGTGACTCCGAAGGGACCCAGCTCCTGGGGTTCTGCAGGGAAGTGGGGGGGACACGTGCATCCGAGGCGACCGTCCAGCCACACTTCCAGAAACTCCCTCGAGAAGGACTTGGGGACTTCAGGCGGGAAAGCCACACTCGGGACTCCAGAGAGAACCACACGGAGACGAGAAATCGGAGACGCAGGATCGAGGACCCCAGCCCCACCTGGACCGAGTCTGTCCTCCGACCCCCGCCTGCTGTCCCCCGGGTACAGCCGGCCCGGGGGGACGCCGAAGCCCCAAGTCTGCCCGACTCCGACCTGCCTGGTGCTCGAGGGGCCCGGGGCGGGCGGGGAGCTAGGCTGCGGGAGGCCGCGGCGGCGGGAGCAGGTGGGCGGGGGAGCTGACGTCAGACCCGGGCCCGGGCGCCGGCGGCCGCTCCCCTGCCACATCCTGGTGGCCGCGCTCGCAGCCGGGCCGGGCCGTGCGCCGCGCAGCCGGGCAGCCTCGCGCGCAGCCACCGGGGAGCGGGCGGGAGTCATGCGGCAGCCTTGAGCACGCGGGGCCGGCGCTGAGGAGTGCGCGCGGCGGGCGGGCGGCTGAGCATGGAGCTGAGCCTGGAGAGCCTGGGGGGCCTGCACGGCGTGGCCCACGCGCAGGCGGGCGAGCTGCTGAGCCCGGGCCACGCGCGATCGGCGGCGGCGCAGCACCGCGGCCTGGTGGCGCCCGGGCGCCCGGGTCTGGTGGCCGGTATGGCGAGCCTGCTGGACGGCGGCGGCGGCAGCGGGGGCGCCGGGGCCGCGGGCAGCGCGGGCGGCGCGGGCGGCGGCGCGGACTTCCGCGGGGAGCTGGCGGGCCCGCTGCACCCGGCCATGGGCATGGCCTGCGAGGCGCCCGGCCTGGGCGGCACCTACACGACGCTCACGCCTCTGCAGCACCTGCCGCCGCTCGCGGCCGTGGCCGACAAGTTCCACCAGCACGCGGCGGCCGCGGCCGTGGCCGGGGCGCACGGCGGCCACCCCCACGCGCACCCGCACCCGGCGGCCGCGCCGCCCCCGCCGCCCCCGCCGCAGCGTCTGGCCGCCAGCGTGAGCGGCAGCTTCACCCTCATGCGCGACGAGCGCGCGGCGCTCGCCTCCGTGGGCCACCTCTACGGACCCTACGGCAAGGAGCTGCCCGCCATGGGGTCGCCGCTGTCGCCGCTGCCCAACGCGCTGCCGCCCGCGCTGCACGGCGCCCCGCAGCCCCCGCCGCCGCCGCCGCCACCCCCGCCGCTGGCCGGCTACGGCGCGCCGGGCCACCTGGCCGGGGACAAGCTGCTGCCGCCCGCCGCCTTCGAGCCGCACGCCGCGCTGCTGGGACGCGCGGAGGACGCACTGGCCCGCGGGCTGCCCGGAGGCGGAGGCGGCGCGGGCGGAGGCGGCGCGGGCAGCGGGAGCGCCGCGGGGCTGCTGGCGCCGCTGGGCGGGCTGGCTGCAGCCGGGGCGCACGGGCCGCACGGGGGAGGCGGCGGTCCCGGCGGGGGCGGCAGCGGCCCCAGCGCGGGCGCGGCGGCCGAGGAGATCAACACGAAAGAGGTGGCGCAGCGCATCACGGCGGAGCTGAAGCGCTACAGCATCCCGCAGGCGATCTTCGCGCAGCGCATCCTGTGTCGCTCGCAGGGCACGCTCTCCGACCTGCTGCGCAACCCCAAGCCGTGGAGCAAGCTCAAATCCGGCCGTGAGACCTTCCGCAGGATGTGGAAGTGGCTGCAGGAGCCGGAGTTCCAGCGCATGTCGGCGCTGCGTTTGGCAGGTAGGAGCGTGGTGCGCTCGGCCAGACCCGCGGGGCGCCGGGGCCCGACTCCCCAGCACCTAGCCGGCCGCCGCCCGATGCTCAGGGCCAGCTCCCGAAGCCCAGCCCGTGCGCCCGGCCGCCCGGGACCCCCTCGTAGGGAGCTAGACAGCGATCCGCGCCCCTGCCCGTTTGTACCGTTGCCAAAAGGGAGAAAGGGATTGTGCCGCCTCCCCCACCCCCCCGTCGCCGCTTCTGCCCTTTCGGGAGCAGGTAGGGGTTCTCTAGTACTGTTTGCACTGCTGAGAGGCCCGGAGCCCTCCCCAGGCAGCCCTCAGGAAAGCTCATTGTGTGTGTGTGTGTGTGTGTGTGTGTGTGTGTGTGTGTGCGCGCGCGCGCCTGTTCAGTGGAGCTGTGTCCTCGAACGAGCTGCTGTTGTCAGCTAAGGTGCCACTCCCCTCCTCCAGCACTGGTGGAGAGGGGCTGCTGAGCCCCCAGCCCTGGGCCACAGAGCTCCGAGACGGTGCGGCGGGCGCCTGCAGCTCAGCAGCAGATACCGAGCCTGCGCTCATCCCCCTCTGCCCCAGCGCGCGCTTCTTTGTAGTTCGGCCGGGCGATCGATACCCCCTCCCTCTCCCCTCCGGCCGCTGGCAAAGGTCACCCGAGAATGGCGGGGGAGGGGCGGCCCGGGGGACCCTCGGCTCGCGCGGCCCAGAGGCCTTCACACCCGGCCCCGGCGCCCGCCCCGCGCAGTTTGGCCCTGGCTCGGGTGCGCGCGCCCCTGCCCGCCTGGCTTTTGGGTTTTTGTGTCTCCTGTCTACTGCTCCCCTCTCTGGGTCGGAACACCCTGGCATCTCTGTGTTTTTCTCTCGCTCTCCGTGTTTCTCTTGTTCCTGCGCCTTCTCGCTGCTCCCTCTCTGTCTCTCTGCCTCAGTCTCTGTCTCACACTCAGCCACCGGCCCCACGGGGACCCTCCTCCCTCCCAGCTGACAACAGCTAAGTCCACACCTGCCCTCTGACCAGCCCGACCGGGCCCCCATTTCCTAGGCGGGGGGTGGGGGTGCAGGAGAGCCCCTGGCCTAGGTGGGGGTCACTTTCCCTGGTGGTGCTGGGGAGGGGCTGCCCACCCGGGCCACAGGGACAATAGCCGCGGCGGCTGGCGCCTGATCGATCGCTTCTCTGAGCACAAGGGCAAGAAAGGCGGGGGCTCTGGGAGGCGCCCCGCTAGCAAAGAGGCTGGGGGGGGTTGTGGCTGTGCCCCAAGGCAGCCCAGCCAGGCAGGGTGGGGGGCAGGGAAGAGAGGGCAGCTGGGCCCTTTGCTGTTCCTCCTCAGCAAACCATTTCCTCCCTTCACCCCAGGGGGACCAGACAACGCCCCCTAGCCTAGACCCACAGGCTGGCCTCAGTTTCCCCTTCTGCAGAGCAAGCAAGATGACTAGCTGGAACCTCTTCTGGGACTCTTAGATTTCTCCACTTTGGAGCACTGGAAAATAAATTGTCTTTTGACTGTGGCAGGGTAACTTTGTGCCCAGGGAGGTCACTTGAACCTGGATGGTTTGAGTCTGTCCTCTCCTCGTGACAAGTGCAGAGACACCCGTGTGCCCATCACAGACAGGTGGTCACATCCCTCACCCAGCCACGGCCCTCAAGATGAGGTGCAGTGCGGGGCCTCAGGGGGCAGAGGGCACACGCCTGGCTGCTTCCTTCCTTCCTCTTTCTTTCTTTCTTTTTCTTTCTTTTCTTTCTTCTTTCTTTCAGCAGAGTTTCACTCTTGTCGCCTAGGCTGGAGTGTAGTGGTGCGATCTCGGCTCACTACAACCTCTGCCTCCCAGGTTCAAGTGATTCTCCCACCTCAGCCTCCCAAGCAGCTGGGGTTACAGACACTGGCCACCACAGCTCGCTAATTTTTTTTTTTTTTTTAATTTTTAGTAGAGATGGGCTTTCACCATGTTGGCCAGGCTGGTCTCGAACTCCTGACCTCAGGTGATCTTCCCTCCTCGGCCTCCCAAAGTGCTGGGATTACACAGGCCTGAACCACCGCACCCGGCCTAGCTGTGACTTTTAGACACCAAGTGGCTGCCGTCACACCAGTAAGGCAGGGACGTTTCTCCATCGCGATTCCCACTGCCTCCTGCCTCTTCCCCAGCACGTATTTGGGGGCACCGTGTCCACCGTGGGTGCACCTGGAGTCCACGCACTCTCCATTTTTCTCACTGTCACGTTGTGCAACACGACCCAATCTGCCATCACTCTACTGGAATTGCAGATTTGGAGGCCACAGAAAACATCGGCCAGAGCGTCACAGAAGGACAAACCGCAGGCGACAAGTCCCATGGCGGGGTGGGGGGGGGTCCCTGCGGCCAGGTCAGCAGCATCCGCCAGCCCTGCTTGGAGACCTGGAGATCGCCTGCTTCCCCTGACACCATCCAGGCCTCCGCCTTCCCTTTCCCGCTGCGGGTGGAGTTGCAGGTGGGGAAACAGCCTGCATTTGTGCCTCGCCTTCCTGACTTGTGACAATGACAGTCTCAGCTCTGGGTTCCGGGCCTTCCCGTCGAGGAAGGGAGAGTGACGACAGGCGCCGCCGTTTCAGGGGTGCGTGGGGGACCGGAGGGGTGGGCGCCACGCCTGACACCCCCAAGTCTCCGGCGGGGCGCTGGGGTGTTGAGGATGGTAAACCTGGACCACGTTGCCCGCCGCGTCTCTGCCGGGTCCGCCGCCCCCGCCGTGGCCCCGCAAAGCACCGCCCCCGCCTCCCCGTCCCTCCGCGGGCTTCCCTTCTCAGGTGCGCTGGGGGCCACGTCTACACCGCTGGACTCCGCCTCGGGGGCTGCGGGGTCATTAGGCTCCGGCCGAGGCCTTTAGTTCCGGTCGCTGCGCAAATGAAAAGCGGTTAAGTGGCGGCAAATCGCGGCGGTTAGAGGGAGGCGGCCGGGCACGTGTTCATCTCCACAGCGACGCCCCCGAACGCCCCGGGCTCAGATAGGGAACGCGGCCCCCTCCGCCCCATTTCAGCCCCGCAGCCTTTCCTCCTCCTGCGTGGCCATCTCCGGCTCCACGGGCCCGCGGGCCTCCCCCTGGCAACTTTGCGCCCCGGGTCAAGCTTCGCGCGCTCGCCCGGCTAGGGCCGGCCACGTGTTTCCGCAGCTACCGAGTGTCCCGCCGGGCGCTTGCGCCTCGAGGGAGATGGGACAGGGAGGGAGAGACCCGCAGGTGCAGACGGAGAGGGAGGTGGGTGGAGTCGGAGGTGGGGGACAGGGAGACAGGGAGACAGAACCGGAGTGCGGGAGAGACCCAGCACGGAGACGCGAGACGGGAGGAGAGACGCAGCCCGGAAAGGAGCGGAGGTGCAGGCGCCACGGAGACAAAGGAAAAGAGACCGAGCGAGGAAAGGAACTCGGGGCGCCGGAGGCCACCTGTGCCCACCCCCACATCCTCCTTCCCCATCGTGGGGTAAGAGTGGGGAGACAGGAATGGGTGGTTTCTTTGTTTCACCAAAGCACGCAAGGAATCCCACGGCAGACCTCTGGAGTCCCGGCCCCACTGCCTAGTCTACCTGCCTCAGTTTACCCATCTGTAAAATGTGCGTGTGGGGGCGCCCAATTCCGGGTCTGACACTCTCAGATTCTGGGCCCCTCTAGTTCGGGAGTCCTGCAGCCCCCAAGCCATTCCCACGGGCCGGGAGCCTCACCCCACCCCCACCCCAAGGTCCTCCGAGTCCCACAGCTTCGGCAGCTTCGGCGCTGCCGCCTGGTCGAAGCCCTCCCCTGGCGCCGTCTCCAACAGTAATTATGGGAGAGGGGCTGGGGGAGGGGCAGGCGGGCTCCTCAGCGGGGGTGGGGGCGGTCGATGAATTCGAATTACCGTCTCTAATTCATCACCGTCGCCGGGTCGATAGCTTCGGCCGTCTTCAAATATTGTTTAAATTGCAACTCCGGAGGAAAAGTATTTTTTTTTTTTTTTTTTGTAACTGATCAGAAAAAATATGTATATGGATAATACAAAGTTAGGTAGAGGCGGGTAAAGAAGGGCCTCGTCTCCTCCCAGGGCCACCACGGGGACGCAGGAGCCCAGAATCCCTGAAGGATGGTGGAGCTCAGTGTGGGGGAAACTGAGGCAGGGAGCCCCCCCCCCCAGCAGGTGGATGGGATGCTTTGCCCTTAAGCAGGACAAATTGTCCTAGGGACAAAAACCAGCATCCATCATGGAGCTGCATGCTGAGGGCGTCTGTCGCAGGGAGTGGGCACTCTGCTTGGTGGTGGGTGCCTGGGGGGATGCCAGGGACCCGGGGCCTGCGGGGGTGGAGTTGGGAAGGTCAGAGCAACAGAACCTCTTCCCCACCCAGGCTCATCCCCGCCGTCCCTCCCCCACCTCTTCCCCTACCAGATGCCAGCCTCCAGGGCTGAGGCTGAAAGGGGAGAGGCAACCAGGAGCCCCCTCAAAGGGACAGGTGTCCGCCCACTACAGGCACTCTGGACAGCCCCACCCAAACTCTGGATGAAAGGAGGGATGAGGGGCCGAGAAGGAGGAGGAGAAGAGGGAAGGGAGGGAAGGAAGGGGAAGAGGGGAGGGAGGTAAAGATCCCTGCGCCTTTTGCAAGAAACCCACTTTCCTCTGCAAGGAGTCAACACCTCTTACGGACACCCCAGAGAAAGATGCCCAGCCCCACTAGCCAGTAGAGATAGCCAGCGCCGGGGGCCTTGGAGATCTGGGTCTCCCCTGGGCTCTGTCCCTGGCTGATCCTGGGCAAAAGGGCCTGAGCCGCAGTTTACTTATCTGAGAAAGGGACAGAATGAGATCACTCTGGAGAGGGTGTGTGAGGTGCCGGAGGGGCTCAGGGGTCTAGAGGGGACACTACAGGTTCCCACAGGAATTCACAGAATGGGGACAGACGTAGAGCCTGCCCAAGCTGGGAGAACCAGACCCCTATGGGACTGTCCTTGAGGCACAGGTGACTGCTGCCCCCAAACCAGCACCCTCCCCCTAAACCTCAGGGCCTGGGATGGAGCAGCCCAAGGAATCAG